CCCGATAACACCACCTCCCCCCTCCCCATCACCATCCCCATCCCCTCGCTTACCATCAAACTCCCCCTACCAACCACAATACTCACTCTCACGCCAGCAAAATCCACGAGCATGCCGACGGGCATCCTAACCGCCTCCGTGCCTCCGGGAGGCGTGATGCCAGCTCCGACCCCAACGGGCAAAGCGGGCGGTGTGAATGGATCACCCGGAGGGGGCGTTGCGCCGAATGTGGGGAATGGGACGCCGGTTTTGGCGACTCAGAGTCTGGTTTCGCCGACTGCTCAGGCGGCTGTTAGTCAAGCGGCTGCGGTGGGGAATGTGAGGAGAGGGGGACAGGCGGTGGTTTTTGCGGTTTTGTTGGGGGCTTGGGGAGTGATGTGAGTGGGGATGTGATTCTTTGAGAGAAGGGTGTTGGGATTTTGGATGTTGCATGTGGATACGGCGTTTCTTTCTTTTCTTTTCTTTTTTTTGAGATTCAGTCCGTGGTTATTTGGATAATAACCCTACCTCTATTCTATTTACCTCGTTTTCTTGTTCTTGTTCTTTTTCTTTTCAATATCTATCTATCCTAGACTCCTTTATTCATCAGAGATAGGGCACGGCGGATGTAGCTATTTTTGTTCTGTATGGTATACATGTATGTATTGGTGGAATTCTGGGGTTTGGAGCACAGACTGGGATTTTTGTAAGTGTGTGTGTGTGGATATCTTGTATATATTGCATTTGCATTGCATTGTGGGAGTTTGAATGGATTGAATTGGATTGAATTGAATAGATATAATCTGGTCTGCTTGAGTCTGCTCCGGTCTGGCAGTCTGCTTTCGTCTGGTTTAGTATTGTTATCCAATATCTATTTTTTATTTATCACTATACTATACTTGCGGTAAGAATACTTCTGTTCTCTTTGTATCTCAGCATATGGTAAGGTACTACATAATATATAAACTATATCGGAGAGTTTTAACCATTTGAAATTCCACTACGTACTCCTGTACTATATCTTATCTTATAAATACTTAAGTACGTAGAGGTTTAAACTAGTATTTAGTGCTCTTGAAGGGTGCGATATTTAATGAAAATTTATATTTATCATCTCTTGGGTGTCAAGTTACGTTAATATATTGCTTGTCGGTGGGGGATGTACTAGCGAAGAGACGAAATACTAAAAGATCTCGTAAAATTTCGGTATATCTTGCGAAGAAGAATCGCTCTCTAACGACCTCTTGAGATATATATCTTAGCTAGTTATGTGTTACTCGTTACTTGAACTTATATAATACAGTATCAGGAGATCGCTGTATATATGTATATCTTGGTAATATTTCTGAAAGGAGCTTGAACCCCCCCTAATTTGAAGCTCTTTCGAAAGTGCGATGTGTAACAAACCTATAGCCTCAACCCGACATCTATAACTTTCATTACACATTGTAATCTCTACACGCTCCTCAGATCACTTTAGAAGCTCTTCTCCTTTGAAAGATTATATCTAATTTGCGCTTCTAACCCTAAATTCTAAGCCCTTACAAACTACGATATACAACCCCCCCTTACACCCCCCTTCAGCCCTCCAACCCTACAAGCCCAAAGCCAACCACTCACCACTCATCCCTACTCCCTCCCCTCATCACAGTATCCACCATAACTTTATTACACATCGCACTTACAACCCCTTCAAAAACGTCTCCAAAAACATTTTCAAAAACATAAAAACGTTCATATACGATATACAACCTCCCCCTCCCCCCCCCCCACTACAAGCTTACACTCTCTACAG